CAGGCTAAAGGTAGCAGGCTAAAGTTAACAGGCTAAAGGTAGCAGGCTACAGCTAACAGGCTAAAGGTAGCAGGCTACAGCTAACAGGCTAAAGGTAGCAGGCTACAGCTAACAGGCTAAACATAGCAAGCTAAAAGTAGCAGGCTACAGCTAACTGGCTAAAGCATGCAGGCTAAAACTATCAGGATACAGATAACAGGATAAAGCTAATGGGCTAAAGTTAACAAGCTAAAGGTAGCAGACTAAACGTAGCAAGCTAAAGTAGCAGGCTAAAGCTAACAGGCTGAGGCTCCGCCCTCAAACCCCTGGTCTGTCCTCCATGAGGGGCCAGGACCAGCCTGCTGTCAGGTGTGTCCATCATGTGCAGCTCCTGGGATGTGTCAGTTCTTATCTGATGCTTGTGCAGCTTCATCTCTCTGTTCGAGTGAAACATCTGAACGTCAGACATCGTCCAAAACTCACCGTCGAGCTGGACGAACGTCTCATCGTGACAACGTCTCTGATCATTTATAATAATCATAAAAGCTAAACATGTTGGCATCAGTTTTTGGTCCATTTTGATGTTGAGGGTTCAAACCCTGAAGCACGTGTCCTGGTGGGACAGACAGGAGAACTGTGGCCAAACTGAGACCGGTCCTGGACACTGTCTCTCACCCGAGGTCCGACATTAGACCAGGGTTGTCACCTTCATTACAAAAAGGGGCCAAAATGAAAACCTAGGTCCAAACCACAGACCGGTTTCATTCGTTACATTAACTCAAGTCACATGACATGTTTTCATGACTGGAGGTTCCTCAGAGTTGGAGCCGTCTCATTTGATGATCTCTGTTGATCTGTCCTCATCAAAATAAAAGTTTACTGAAAAATTCAAACTTACAAAAAGCTTAAAGTTACTGAGTCTATGAAGTATTTATAAGATTTATAAGCAAAATGAGTGGTGGAGACTTTGAAAATATTTTACATCTTATATATACATCACCCTGGGGCCAGATTAAATGTTGAAGAGGGCCAGATTAAATGTTAGAGGGCCAGATTAAATGTTAGAGGG